CACACACACACACACACACACACACACACACACACACACACACATACACACACACACACATACACACACACACACATACTTCACTATCAAATCAACCTTTTTTTTTTTCCGTGTTACGTTAGCGACCGCGTCATTCGCTCCTCGCGATACCGGAATCCCTCCCTCCTCCTTCCTCCCCTTCCCTCCCCTCCTCTATCCCTTCTTTTTTATGCATCTCTCCCTCCTCCTTGCTCCTTCTCTCTCCTCCATCGTCCATCTCTCCATCCTCTTCTCTCAGTTTTTTTTCGTTTATTTTTCTCCCCTCCCTCCTCCATTTCTCCTGCCTCCTTTCTTCCTCCTTTCTCCCTTCTCCTTCCTCCCTCTTCCTCCCTCCGCCTTTCTCCCTCCTCCGTCCTCCTTTCTCCTTTCTCCTTCCTCCTTCCACTTTTTTTTTTTTTTTTATGTTTGTTGGAACATTGTACAGCAGGGCGAGATTAGCGGGCATTTGCAATTTTTTTCCGCCTCCCTGCGGATTGATGTTTCCGCAATCCGATTTGGTAGTGTTTTTTGTTTTTTTTTGTTTTGGTATGCCCACCGTGATGTTGCACAGTCAAGATGGATTAGAGGGGAGAGGGGGGAGGGGGATGAGGGAGAGGAATGATTTGTCCTTTGAGGGTCTGACCTACATTTAACGTTGTAGCCTTCCCCGTGATGCAAGTGACAACGGCAATGGCGCTCGCTCATCTGAAGCAGCTGATTGAAGACTTGAAGCAACACTTCAGGGACGATGGTCCTGCAGGGAGGAACCCAGGAAAGGGGTCCAAACATTGGATGTGCAGGTGCTGCGAGACCCAATCCGACAGGACGACGTCAAATATGAGAAACCACTGTCTGAAGAAGTGCAGCCTGGACCTCCTAACTAGATTGTTGTCCGTTGAGGAGAGGGCGAAAAGGGCGGAGGGGATTCGCATGGGGAAGAACCTCGCAAAGATCATTGAAATGGGGGGGGGGAGGTCTACACCGACGAGCAACCTGTCATCTTCTAACAGTCTGGTCATCGGCGTGATGGGTCCTAGTAGTGGAATGGCGGTTGTTGACGGAGTACCATTGTCGGTGGTGGCTTCTTGGGACTTCGGCCCTGCAGTGCCCCGAACAGGTCGACCAATGAGGCAGACACTTATCGAGAATGCGGACAACATCATTACTCATAATGAGCACACAAACCGCTTCCTTAATAACTTATTGTTCTGCACGAACCAGCTATTTAGTCTCGTCGACAAAGAGTACTTCCTCGAGTTTATCAACGTGGTGAAAAACGCACATCCATCATGGTTACCATACCACAGGGACGAGGCACGGACGAAGAGGCTAGACGACGCGTTCTGAAGGACGAGAGAAAATGTTTTTCGGAAATCAATGTGCATAGAGTGGAGACACAAAGACGTGGCAGCGTATTTGAAAATCCTTGATGGAGTGATAAAGGAGACTAGAGGAACCGTGGTGGTTGACGTTGTCATGGACAACGCAAGAGTGTGTGCGAAGACAGATAAGATGGTGGAGACCGCTTACCCTCATATTTTTCGTATCAGTTGCGTTGCGCATGCCCTCGATTTAGCACTCGAGGACTTGTAGAAGCAAGTCGGTTGACTGGCGGTGGTCGTCGACGACGGGAATGCAGTCGACAAATCTCCATGAATGTGGATAAGGCGAAGGCTTTGTACAACAAATTCTTGTTGAATTTGAAGTTAAAGCGGTCGGTTGTGACCCGATTCGCCACAAGTCACGACATGTTGGCTTCATTGTGGAGAGGGAGGAATGCACTGGAGAAGTGCGTCTGCAATACGGCATGGGTGGACAAAATAATGAGGGGAGATCAACTCGTTGCTTCCGTGAGGTCAGCTCCATCATGTTGAGACGAGACTGGTTTTGGGACAAGGTGGACAAAACCCTCGCAGTGATGTCTCCTGTTGTGGAGCTGTTGCACCTGGTCGACGGGCCAGGGGCAACAATGTTGAAGGTATACTTTAAGATGGATGCGCTCATCGAGAGAATGCATGGCCTTGACTACGTCATCGCGGGTGAGAAGGATGGCATTGAGGGCATTCTAATGCATTTGTGGTCCTTCATGACTAGCGAGCTGCATTGCGCGGCTGCCTTCCTTGACCCGGAGTACCGACACAGTGCACTGTCAGAGCGGGATCGGGAGGTTCGCGCAAGGTTCAACATTTGACTGTACTCATGGGCGTCGAAGGATGAAACAATCCTCAACGAACGGAGCCGGCAAGTCGATAATTGGACCAAACTAGAGGGGATATTCAATCACAAGAGGCAGCGGAAGCGGCGCGTGTGATACCGGGGGCGTTGTGGTGGGAAACATTTGTGGGGAAATTGGACCTTTTGCAGCCGCAAGCCGCTAAATTACTTGACCAAGCAAGCTTGTCCACTGCATATGAGTGGAATTGGAGCTTCAATGAACTCATTTTTGGAAGACGGCGCACGAAGCTCGTGTCAGAGAGATTGTCAAAGTTGGTGTCCAACAATTGGAACACCCAATTGATCGGGAGTTACATCCGTGGCAGTAAGGAGGAGGTTCACATACCTTGGGAGGATGACCAACCGACGGAGGCGGAAGTTGAGGAGTGGTATAACACGTGGGTAGCGACGACGGTGTCCAATGACGATGACGCAACAGACACGCCTGGTGACGTGGAGGTGGAAGAGGAGGATGAAGACGAGCCACTTATGCGAACTTGGTTGCGAAATGACGAGAGGGATGACCAAGAGTGTGAGGAGAAGGACATAGCCCTCGTGGACTTGAGGGAAAAGGACTGGCACGAGTGCAGAAAACCTGACCGCTATAGGGAACACGAGCTGCGAAGGAAATCAGACCATTCGCAACCCTTGCCGTTAGTGTTGTACATGGAAAAGGAACGGGCATAGTTGTTGAAGGCACGAGTTACTGGAACATGAGTGCACAGTACAGGGGATGCGTCCATCCTCAGAAAACGTGGAAAAAAAAAGAACGCAACGGAAGGACGTGGAGGAGGTGGTTCTGGTGGCAAAGGGGGGCGACGTGGACAGAGGGCCAAAACCCATGAGGGGCCGACCGTCAAACATGGACCTGGAAGAAAGGAAAGCCCAGAAAGTGGAAGCGAAGGATGAAAAGGCAACTGATGCAGCAGCAACAACGAGAAGTGCGACTGCCAAAAAAAGAAGGAAGAAAAAGGCGCACAACAATGCTATCGATGATGACAAAAGCGGCGATGATGTGGTGGCAGCAATTGACAACTTGAATGATGCAACAACAGCAGGCGACGAGGCGGCAACAACACCTTCGTTGGCATCCTCATCTTTCTCGTCGAAGGATCAAGATGCGAATGGGAGTGGGGTGGACTCCATGGAACACGGTGAATGAGATGGGGACAACACGAGAGAGAGTTGAGCATCAGAGCTCACTCCTTCTGCGAACTTTCAAACTACGAAGTTCGATTTTCAATTTCATAACTTTGAACTTTCTTAACTTTGCAAACTTCGCATTTTTGAAGCTATAAACTTTGTTAAGTTTTTTTTTTTGTTGTTTACTTGCACATGTCGTCTGCTTTTTACTCGGTCGTGATTGGGGATCTCATGATGGTGTGCTTCAATGTGTTGTGTGTGCCTGTTATTTGCCCTGCGTCTGTTGTTCCTTGTGTACACTGTGTATCCACCGGGTTGTTCATACCACCTACAGGTACGTATTGGCAACCTCCTCATTCTGCATTTCGCCCCTCCGTTTGCAGGAATTTCATAATGCCTCCCTTCAAATTTCAAATTTGATTATTATAATTTGTGAGTTTGTTTAACTTGTATGCTTATGTGTGTGTGTGTGTGTGTGTGTGTGTGTGAGAGAGAGAGAGAGAGAGAGAGAGAGAGAGAGAGAGAGATGGATGCCTTGCTATGTGCTTAAATCGTTGGGGGGAGCACACAAAGGAAGGTTTTTGGCTAGGCAACGTGCAATGTAGGAGGGGGAGGCATGAAAAAAAAAAACAGAAAAAAAACAATGTGGGGCATTTGCTACACCACCCTGGGGAACAGACCGCAGGTGCGCATGCGCACGTGAAATGTGCACATGGCGCATGGTGCATATAGGTGTGCGATGCACACGCACCTGCCGCGCACGCATGGCGTACTTTGCATGCACAATGTATAAATGCGCTGCAAGTATGATTTTTTATTTTTTTTTCTTTTTACATTTGGACTATTTCTCGATTTATGTGTGCCATCCTTGCTCAAAGGTCATGTGAGTCTCAAAGGATAAATAAGGATACAAGGTACTTTTTTGGGAGGGACCCCGTTTTTCGAAAGTTGGTACCCTGTATCAGTACATAACGCATGTGCATTATATCCGAATAGAGCGCATTTCTTGCGTTCTATTCGTAATTAACGAACGTGCGTTTCTTCGGGGGAAGACTGTAGGCCCGTTGGTGAAATGTTGGGTGTTTGTTCGGCTAGAAGGTCAGAAGATACGTCCGGCCCCTGTTTCACATTTGGTGAGTGGTGCGGCTAGACCTGTGGGTGAAATCGATTGGCGGGATTCTCTATCCAGAACCATAACTCTGCGTACGGTAATATGCGCACAAGCAGGGGTCGTTGTACAGTGGGCTCGTCTGCTTTAATAAGGGGATAATACCATTCTTTGGTGGTTGAATTTGTTGGGGAACTGGTCCTTGACATTTTTGTGGAGGACCCACAATTATCACTCATAGAACCGACCTTCGTAAATTGGAAGGATTGATCGTTCGTTTCACTTGGAACCCAAAATATAGTTATAAACCACCAATAAGTTGCTCAGCTATTTTTTGTAAGTCGCAACGCGTATACCTGCATGACTTTAGGGTGTTGGGGAAGTGAACGTCCGGTTGGTACCTGCACGACTTTGTTATTTGCAAAAAAAAAAAAAAAAAAAAAAAAAAAAAAAAAAAAAAACAACAACAACTAACAAATATCCTACTTAAAAAAAAAAAAAATAAAAAAAAAAAATAAAAAAAAATAGAGAGAGAGGGGGAGAGTGGTTCGATTTTGCCATATGCTAAAAGAGAATGAATCTTTTCGCGTTCTCGTGGAAGATTCGTTTTCATTTGCAAAATTAAATTCACGTCGTGTGCTCGCGCGGTGCGATTTGTGTAAAATGAGAATGATTCTTTCGTATACTTGCGAGAGGATTCATTCTCATTTTGCAAAATTGAACCTTGCAAGATACACACAGACACACACACAGTCCCGTGAGCAACACAAACTGTCGCGGCGAGCTCGTCCAGTTTGTCTGTCTGTCTGTCTGTCTCTCTCTCTCTATCTATCTATCTATCTATCTATCTATCTATCTATCTATCTATTTACCCATCTATCTATCTCGCGCGCGCGTGCGTGCGCTTACACACACATACACATACACAAAGCTCATATTTAATTTCGCAAAACGAGAATGAATCTTTCGAGAGAGGACGACAAGATGCATTATCGTTTTGCACATTTTGAAAAATGAACTGTCGTTTTTTTTTGTTTTTTTTTTTTCTCTCTCTCTTTCTCACACACACACACACACACACACACACACACACACACACACACACACATATAGATCTCAAATTTAATTTTGAATGAAAATGAATTTTCCAAGAGAGGACGACAGGATTTATTCTCGTTTTGCACATGGGCAAAAATGAATCGTCGGGGCTCTCTCTCACTCTCTCTCTCTCTATTTCTCTCTCTCTTTAACACACACACACACACACACACACACACACACACACAGACACACACACACAGACACACACACACACACACACACAGAGATAGACACAAAGACACACAAATAGAGCTCGGATTTGATTTTGCAAAACAAAAATGAATCTTCTGAGAGAGGACAACAAGATTCATTATTGCCTTGCATATGGGCAAAAATCAACTGCCTGTCTTCCTCCCCCTCCCGTCTCTCTCTCCCTCGAACACCCTTGTGCACGAATTCACTCTTTCTATACTTCGTTTTTATTTTTTTCTTTTTATAAATAAATAATTTTATTATTTTTTAGAAAAAAAAATATCGTTATTTCTTATTCTTTTTTTCTGAGTTATTTTTTTTCATCGAAACAAAGGATGTCTCTTGAACGCTTAGTAGCCCCAAGTTCGGCCACGATCGGGATACCTAGCCTTGGACTTAATAGCTTGGCGGATAACTGAACTCGATCTCATAGTCCAAACAACAATTACTTTTTAAATCGAGGGGAAACTTCATATAATAACAACCAAGAAAACGTTGTATTTCGGTACTTCGATAATACTGCGTATCACAAATTTAGTCATACATCGACATGCGGGGGTTCGAGGGGATGTATATAAAAAAAATTTATTGATCTTTATCACCTTCTCCTGATAAATTATGTTTTTTGCTTTATAGAAATGTCGATGTTAAAGGTGAAAACAATATTGATGAAAACACAATGTCCGTCAAAGTTAAAACAACAGTGCAGACATTTGGTTCAATATCGAGTTGTCTTGAAAGAAAGGATATTTGTCAAACAATGGAAAATGGAACTGGGTGAAATATTTGTTTGTACTTTTTTTTCAATTGACGTCTATCAATATAATTCGACAATGAGTTATGAGTTCATTAAGCCATATAATGATTTAAGTCTTCTGTTATACTAGTTTGTTTTATATTGTCTTGATCTTGATTCACATTTATATTATGAAGTTTTGCCTTCATATTGGTGGTTTTTCAAGTTTGCATGTTACCTATCATATATGTGTGTATGTGTGTGTGTGTGTATGTGTGTGTGTGTGTGTGTGTGTGTGTGTGTGTGTGTGTATGTGTGTGTGTGTGTGTGTGTGTGCGTGTATGTATTCGGGTATATGTGTGTGTGTGTGAGAGAGAGAGAGAGAGGACGGAGAGAGAGAGAGAGAGAGAGAGAGAGAGAGAGAGAGAGAGAGAGAGACCAAACAAACCCACTAATTTGAAAACATGATATCTAAAAAGGTAAATGCTCATATTGGACATGCGAACTAGTGCATACATATTAAGAACGAGCTTCACAAACCTTTGCAGTATTAGACTGAAAGTTTAAAAAGACGAAAAAAAATCAAAAAAAAAAATCAAGGATGCAATTACCTTCATTATGAGGTGAATAATTGTTATTTAAAGTTGATGATTGGTTCTTGAGCTTGTGATGTATGTTTTTTCGACTTTGTTCATCAATTCTAATAATATAAAAATAATAGAATGAGTAAATAATGATTGTTATAAATCATATACGATTATCATAACAACTTGGGAATGGCTATAAAACATAGTTCGTTTGATAAATAACAACTTGGGAATGGCTGTAAAACATAGTTCGTTTGATAAATAACTTATGAATTAGCACAACCATTTTTTGTCCAAAGCGGTTGTTAACTCGACCCCGTGAGTTTCGGGACTCAGTTACAAGAGAAAAATGCTTAGCGATGCCAACTAAGAGAAAATTGCACGGGTTCGGGTCATTATGGCGTACATGGCATTTAAAGGTTCGACAAGGGAAAAATCAAAGTATTAGTGGTTTAAACCTACTTAAGTGGTTCAGTTATGGGGTGGGGAGTTGGTTTATCAATTCAACTTCCCATAATTGGGTTGTGCTCTATTGGATTCGGTAACCAAGGTTGTGATAGTTAACCTTGCTCCCAATGATGTTTTTTGTTAAAAGTTGAAAGTTGGTATGAAGCACATAAATGGGGTGCGTAAAATTATTGAAAGGGTCTTTAGACATAGGAGTAGAGTTGCATTGTGAAACTGAAATCCTCTTCTATCGATAACTGCATTGAAATTATGAGGGGGATAAGAGAGAACATCTTGTGATACAAGTTTTCTTCATTTACTAAAAAACATATTCAATTCAAAGAAAAAATTGTTTATAAAGAAAAAATGCAATGACGAATCAATCGTGACAATTTTTTTATGAATAAAAGAATGTGGAGGAAACCCAGTCATCATAGCAAGAATAAATGCATTCCTTTTCAATATGAAAAAGCTCGAGAACACAATGCACGAGTTTCTGTGATTTTATGACTTTCTTATGCACGACGCAAAAATCAGAATCGAAGATGGTTGGATATAACTGCACCTTTATTTCCTCGACCTCCGATCCCGTGAGTCAGATATAGGTGAAGCCTCGAGACCCTGCTCTTACACTTTGCAAGACATTTATGATTAATCCCCAGAGATGGCAAACAAAAGGACAGTGAGCAAGTTTTTGAAAGAAAAACCAGGGAATAATGTGAGAAAGTGATAGGGGGGATGAATTTGGGTCACTGCTTCCCACACACTGCACTCACACTCATAAGCTGAATCGTCAGAGTAAGGGGAAAGAGGTACCATAAGTGCTACTAAGATCTTGTAAATGAGGATTTAGGGTAACAAAAAGGCAACCAACCAGTCTTAAAAATGCATACATTCTTGTTAACAACAATAGTAGACGTGACCTTATACACTCACA